GGGAAAACAGCTGGGCTCCTCCTCCCCCCCTCGGGAAACCGGCTGGGCTCCCCCCCTCCTCTTCCTCCTCCTCCCCCCCTCGGCGGTCAGAAGCCTGCGGGCCTCGTCCTGTCTACCTTTAGCTCCTTCGGACCAGCTGAGCCCAGGGCGGGCAGGAGCCTCCGCCGGTCCTCCTGCACGGCGCTTCCTGGGCCACCTTCCAGTCCCGCCTGCGACCCTCCTGCCTTTTTTTTTTGCATGGCCTCCCTTGGAAAGAGGAGAGGAGAGAGGAGAAGAGCCGGGGTGGGGGTGGGGGAAGACATCCCCTGTGCCTCCTGCCAAGGGCTTTTCCTGGGACGAAGCGATCCAAGAAGCTGCTGCTCTTCCGGAACAGGCCTTGAAGGCTCCACACCTTCCCAAAGAGATGCTCAGTTCGAATGGCCCTGGAGCCAGAGCTGCATAAACTGGCCAGGAGGTTAAGGAGGGTCTCCTCCTCATTCTGGGTGCCTGCCTTTGCTGGAGCTCCTGTGGGTGGGTGGGTGGGTGGGGGGTTTCAGGCTTCTTCTATACAGGGCATTCTGGTGAAAGCTTGCCCCCCACATATGCCTATGTCAGTGTTTGTCAACCTTGACCATTTTAAGGCATGTGGACTTCAACTCCCAGAATTCCACAGCCAGCAATGCTGGCTGTGGAATTCTGGGAGTTGAAGTCCACATGCCTTAAAATGGTCAAGGTTGACAAACACTGGCCTATGTGGTGCCTACGTTGTTAGCACCGAGGAGTCAGATCTCAGCTGGCAAATAAACCTGTGTTTATTTGCTCAAAAGGTGTCTTTAAAAGGATGCTTGTTGTTATCGGCCATCTTGGCAACCACCTGGCTCTACGGAGAACAAAGTATCTTAAATAAGCAAAGAGATCCAACGAGAAAAATAAACAGCGGAGTTGTACACGGCCGATCCCGCTCTAGAAACCTTCCTTGTGGTTAAAGAGTTTTCTCGTCAAGGTCTGCTCGCATTTTGCGACCTTCTCGTGTTGTGAAATGGGCCTTGACTATGAGGACTTTGAAAAGAGCGCCTCCGTGCCCCTCCCTCCTCCACCTCTGTTGGGGCTTTTCTCGAGGGAAGGCGTCAGAGCAGCTGTTTTCCCAACAGAAGGACCCTGGTGTTGCGCCTGCTGGTGCTCCAGGTTTTGCCAGGCGCATCGGCTCTGGTGCTGTGTGTGAATGTGGGGAGGGCTGCAACTTTGCAAGGCCATCTGTGCACCCGGCTGCCTCCTTCGCCTGGGCGCGTCAGTGCTATGTCTGAAGGCAGGTCTTGGGCGAATTGGGGCAAAATGGACTTGAGGAGAGCCGTGGTCCACACTGAGGGTTGGGAGATGGATCGACCTTTCTGATTCTTCCTTTGGATTTGCCCTTTCCTGCATCTGCCCCGTGCCACAAATGGTTCAGTTCACCTGCTGCTCTGTTTCCTTCTCTTAGGGCGAATTAAAATAGCAAGATGTCAGACACGGGGAATAGCACGGAGGAGAAGACGAATATGCCTAACGGTAAGAGCAGAGAGAGAAGCAGAAACATTTCTGGTGTTTTGTTGCTGGTTGCAAGACTCTGAAGGGCTCTGGGCCAATTCACTGAGCTGTGGCTGGAGGGTGGGGTGGGTAGGAGGGCCCGGCCCGCCTCGCCTCCCACAGAAGCCCACCTCTGTCCGTCTCCATGCTGGGGAGCGGCTTCTATGCCAGGCAGGATCACAGCGGCTCTTTCCCTGCAGCTGTGGGCATTTGGGGAGCAGTCTTGCGTACGAGAAGGATGGAGGGAAGGCCATCTCAGCCTGCTAACCCGGATGTGGTCTTCACACACAGGAAGCTTGTCCAGCAGTCCGGAAGAGATGTCTGGAACCACGGAGGGGCCCGAGACGTCTTCCGGGGTGGAGGTGGAGGCTTCCGACCTGAGCCTCAGCTTGACGGGGGACGAGGTGGGCCCCAGCCAGACTTACACGGAGAGCTCCACCGAAGAGAAGGACTNCCCCCCCCCCCGCGACGGTCAGAAGCCTGCGGGCCTCGTCCTGTCTACCTTTAGCTCCTTCGGACCAGCTGAACCCAGGGCGGGCAGGAGCCTCCGCCGGTCCTCCTGCACAGCGCTTCCTGAGCCACCTTCCAGTCCCGCCTGCGACCCTCCTGCCTTTTTTTGCATGGCCTCCCTTGGGAAGAGGAGAGGAGAGAGGAGAAGAGCCGGGCGGGGGGTGGGGGTGGGGGAAGACATCCCCTGTGCCTCCTGCCAAGGGCTTTTCCTGGGACGAAGCGATCCAAGAAGCTGCTGGTCTTCCGGAACAGGCCTTGAAGGCTCCACACCTTCCCAAAGAGATGCTCAGTTCGAATGGCCCTGGAGCCAGAGCTGCGTAAACTGGCCAGGAGGTTAAGGAGGGTCTCCTCCTCATTCTGGGTGCCTGCCTTTGCTGGAGCTCCTGTGGGTGGGTGGGTGGGTGGGGGGTTTCAGGCTTCTTCTATACAGGGCGTTCTGGTGAAAGCTTGCCCCCCACGTATGCCTATGTCAGTGTTTGTCAACCTTGACCATTTTAAGGCATGTGGACTTCAACTCCCAGAATTCCACAGCCAGCAATGCTGGCTGTGGAATTCTGGGAGTTGAAGTCCACATGCCTTAAAATGGTCAAGGTTGACAAACACTGGCCTATGTGGTGCCTATGTTGTTAGCACCGAGGAGTCAGATCTCAGCTGGCAAATAAACCTCTGTTTATTTGCTCAAAAGGTGTCTTTAAAAGGATGCTTGTTGTTATCGGCCATCTTGGCAACCACCTGGCTCTACGCAGAACAAAGTATCTTAAATAAGCAAAGAGATCCAACGAGAAAAATAAACAGCGGAGTTGTACACGGCCGATCCCGCTCTAGAAACCTTCCTTGTGGTTAAAGAGTTTTCTCGTCAAGGTCTGCTCGCATTTTGCGACCTTCTCGTGTTGTGAAATGGGCCTTGACTATGAGGATTTTGAAAAGAGTGCCTCCGTGCCCCTCCCTCCTCCACCTCTGTTGGGGCTTTTCTCGAGGGAAGGCGTCAGAGCAGCTGTTTTCCCAACAGAAGGACCCTGGTGTTGCGCCTGCTGGTGCTCCAGGTTTTGCCAGGCGCATCGGCTCTGGTGCTGTGTGTGAATGTGGGGAGGGCTGCAACTTTGCAAGGCCATCTGTGCGCTCGGCTGCCTCCTTCGCCTGGGCGCGTCAGTGCTATGTCTGAAGGCAGGTCTTGGGGCAAAATGGACTTGAGGAGAGCCGTGGTCCACACTGAGGGTTGGGAGATGGATCGACCTTTCTGATCCTTCCTTTGGATTTGCCCTTTCCTGCATCTGCCCCGTGCCACAAATGGTTCAGTTCACCTGCTGCTCTGCTTCCCTCTCTTTCTCTTAGGGCGAATTAAAATAGCAAGATGTCAGACACGGGGAATAGCACAGAGGAGAAGACGAATATGCCTAACGGTAAGAGCAGAGAGAGAAGCAGAAACATTTCTGGTGTTTTGTTGCTGGTTGCAAGACTCTGAAGGGCTCTGGGCCAATTCACTGAGCTGTGGCTGGAGGGTGGGATGGGTAGGAGGGCCCGGCCCGCCTCGCCTCCCACAGAAGCCCACCTCTGTCCGTCTCCATGCTGGGTAGCGGCTTCTATGCCAGGCAGGATCACAGCGGCTCTTTCCCTGCAGCTGTGGGCATTTGGGGAGCAGCCTTGCGTACGAGAAGGATGGAGGGAAGGCCAGCTCAGCCTGCTAACCCGGATGTGGTCTTCACACACAGGAAGCTTGTCCAGCAGTCCGGAAGAGATGTCTGGAACCACGGAGGGGCCCGAGACGTCTTCCGGGGTGGAGGTGGAGGCTTCCGACCTGAGCCTCAGCTTGACGGGGGACGAGGTGGGCCCCAGCCAGACTTACACGGAGAGCTCCACCGAAGAGAAGGACTCGGACAGCATGGAGGAGACCGGGCACTACTCCATCAACGAACTGAATCGGACCTATGACCGCTCCCCCTCGGAGGAGGAGGAAGAGGAGGAGGAGGCGGAGGAAGAAGAAGAGGAAGAACAGCAGCAGCAGGAGGAGGCGGCAGAAGCGGAGGCCCAGCGTTCCCGCTGGCGAGCGCACCGCAAGCGCCCCAACCAGGACAGGGACTCCTCGGACGACGAGCGGGCCCTGGAGGACTGGGTGGCCTCGGAGACGATGGCGCTGCCCCTGCCACGCTGGCGCGCCCTCCAGGCCCTGCGGGAGAGGGAGCTTGGCTCCAGCGCCCGCTTCATCTATGACGCTTGCGGGGCCCGGCTGTTCGTGCAGCGCTTCTGCCTGCAGTACGGCCTGGAGGGCCACGGGGGCTGCGTGAACACCCTGCACTTCAACCAGCGCGGGGCCTGGCTGGCCAGCGGCAGCGATGACCTCAAGGTGGTGGTCTGGGACTGGGTGCGCAGGCGGCCCGTGCTGCAGTTCGAGAGTGGCCACAAGAGCAACGTCTTCCAGGTGGGGGCTCTGGCTTGATGGGGGGGGCTTGGAGATTGGAGTAGGGTCTTCCAGCAAGGCCGAGGGGCCCCCTTCTGGCTCTCCCAGAGACTGCCAGCCTGGAGGGAGGCTGATTGGGACTCTGGAAAGAGCTCTGCTGGCTGGTGGGGCGGAGGGGGGTCCGTCCTTGGGCCAGAGCCGCCGTCCTCTTGCCAGCCCCGGCTGCTTTCGCCCCTGCAGGCCAAGTTCCTCCCCAACAGCGGAGACTCGACCCTGGCCATGTGTGCTCGGGACGGCCAGGTCCGCGTAGCCGAACTCTCCGCCACGCAGTGTTGTAAGACCACGAAGCGGGTGGCCCAACACAAGGGCGCATCGCACAAGGTGAGGGGGTCTCCTCTGCTCCCCCTGCCTGCTCCCCTTGTGGGGGGAGTTCTTGGCGTGCATCAAGAGTCTCTGGGCTGCAACTTCACCAGGAGGGCCCGTGCCCAATGGGCTACCCACGCCCCAAAACGCAGGCCTGGCTCTCGGGTTTCTGCACCCAGCAAGGGGCTGCCTGCTCCTTCCCTTGGGACATCCCTGCGGAGGCGCTCTCTCTCTCTCTCTCTCTCTCTCTCTCTCTCTCTCTCTCTCTCTCTCTCTCTCTCTCTC